TTTAATTTTCCTTGGACTGTTCTAAGGATATTTTGTCCTCTGATGATTTTTGATAGGGCATTTGTTTCCAAGATACGGGGTCAAAACACTACGCACACTGAGGTTGAAAATTAATAATAATGATCGGGAACCTTGCGGTACCCGACAAAATAGTGAGATATATTGAAAAACATAACACTCTGGCGAACTCGCTTCACTATAACGTCTGGGCCAAACAGGGTGGGTCACTTTCAGAAGGGGTGTATTTCGGGGTGAATTTTTCAGTCCCCTTCTCTTCCGCATCTCACTATTGTCATTATCGGTTGCGGTCAGAAATACTCGAGGGTATAATTGTGACACCCCCGGAAACAGGAGGCATAAGGTAACCCATTTGTTTTATATGGATGATCCCAAAATTCATGATTCTGAGGAGAAGGATCTACATCAGTCCTTGAGGGTGGAAATAGCACGCATGCTATCGGTATGAAATTCGGGATAGATAAATGTGCAATGGTCCATCTCAAAACAGGACGATACGGGGCCTACGGAGAAGATGGAAGCATCCTACACCATTTGGATGCCGGAGAGACGTATACTTACCTCTGCTGTTACCTCTTGTAACTGCTGTTACAAGAGGTAACAGCAGTTAAGAACTCTTTTCACGGCAAGTATCAGTACAAACTTCGACAGATCTGATCATAGGAACTGTCGGGAAAGAACAAAGTTGCTGAAACAAATATGCTTGCCGTTCCAATCTTACTCTACCCCTTTGGAGTAGTGAAGTGGACTCGGGCGGAGCTGTTTCAACTCGACGTGAAGAGTTATCATCTCAAATCGTCCGTTCCACGGTTATACTTCCCCCGTCAACAGGAAGACCGTAGACTTTCGAATTTGGAGTGTCTGCATGACAGAATGGTACCGGATGTAGCCTCTGAAGTCGCCAGGAGTTCGGATCCCCTTCTCTGGATGGTTCGCGACCATGAGAAATCAGGAATTGGAGCATTTCTCTTTAGGGCAGATGCCCGAGCAGCTGATGAACTAGGTTTAGTTTTTGACACTGAACGAGGTGGTCACAACTCTGTCCCTGAGTTGGAATCCGTTCAGCAAAATGCTCAATTGAACGCCACAGAGATCACCTCACCACTACGGAAACACAAGGATAGGCCAATGTATAGGGTCTTCTTCAATAACATTGAAGACCTTGACTCATCAAGGCGACTGACTTTCGTTTTCCTCAGGTCCAGTGGGCTGAACTCGAAAACTGATGGGTTCATCATGGCTTACCTGGATGGTTTCTTCAACACCTTAGTCTACCGCAGTCGTGTGATGGGTATAGAGGTTCCTGACACAAGGTGCAGGGCCTGTCGCGAGGCGTCCGAGACTCTAATACACTTGCTATCAACATGTCCAGCATATGTGTTCTCGGCCTAATTCCATCGACATAACGCGGCCCTAAGAGTGCTTTATTACCATCTACGACACATTTACGGTATTGACGAGACACCGGTGTTGCCCTACGCTCCGGAGGATATTGAATTTGTTGTGGGAAAAAAGAAGTGCTGAATTCATTGGAACTATTCGTTCTCCACCCTTAGGCTCATACAAGCTATTAAGCCTGTTGTAGTCCTTCTCGAACACCAGAGCATGACGATTTTTGTCGTGAAGTTTTCAGATGCTGGCGAGGCGAATATCGTCCGAAAAGAGGAGGGAAAACGAATAAAATATCAAGATTTTCTCTTCGAACTTCGCAGACTCCATCCTAACACTATGTTAACATGGTTGTTCTGATTATTGGGGTCCTTGGTCGAATGATGTCTTCTCTACTCTCGAATTTGGAAATTATACCGGCGTGCTGCACCAAGGCAGAAATCTTAGCCAGACAGATGCAGAAGGCTGTCATTCTTGGCTCATATGATTCTCAGACCCAATGATCACTCGACCCATGGTGTGGGAAGTGGTTGCTGGTTGATAATGCTGGCGCGCCCTCCAGAATGTATCGAGGCTCCAGGGGATAGAGCCTGATCAGCGCATACTACGGTAAAAATATGATAATTTGTAGCTTACAAAAAACAGCACAGCATATATTTCGCTAATAATAACAGAAACTACAAATATCTAAGCGGGAGGAGTTGTTGATCTCAGTTCCAGTCTCAATAACGAGCAAAATGTAAAAGAAAGCAGTGAAGAAAAAGATTTGGAAAAACGTACATTCGATTTGATAGAAGTAACTAAGTCAGTTATGTAGTTGATGACCTTCATCAAGATCTGCTGACTAATTAGTAGTAGAAAACTATTTATAGTACTTTCAAAAAATTGTAGAAGAACCTACACGAAAATATTTTCAATTGAATTGCAGAATATTTTACTTGGTACATTTATCAATAATTTCTGCTTGTGTTTGAATTTTAATTTTTCTCAGAAAGGAATAATAAACCATTGTGTGACGAAGAACGCTACAAGTTTTGTTCAAAAAGAATCGTTACTTACATTTCTCTTGTTTGGAAATAAAAAATGAGAAGTGAATATCATCAATATCAAGAACGTAACATGAAAAATTCGTTTTGGAATTCTGTCGTTGGTAAATATTCTGCAGAGTATCTTCAGCATCACTGTGTCATGATATTTTTCGTGAGCAGAACACACTTTACTCGATCTACTTTTCTAACCCAAATATTTTTTGAATTCAATTTAGAAGCACATGAAATATTTTATTGAATCACACCTGAAGAAGATAAGCCCTAACTTGATGGAAAAAAAATTTGTGGGAACCGATTTTTTCGTATGGATACATTTTAGAATTGCCTCAAGTTCAACGGTAAACGTTGGCAAATTATTAATTTTCCGGCAATTTCACAATATCATCAAATTTGAATTAGACATCTGGGAGCACACACTGAATCATGGCTCGTTAAAAAATCTCTCAGAGGTGAAAGATTGTAATGTGGAGGTGGGTATAACGCTGTAGGTCCCAGTAAATATTGCAGTTGTGGGCTTATTGTATTCTATGACGTAGGCGTTGATATAATACCTAACTTGTGTATTAAATTGAAAATCAATATTATGCACCTCAGACTATGTAATATAGCTATTCTTTAAAATAGTTCATTTGCTCAAAACCAGACAACTGGTTTTTGTTTATGGATACTAACAATCTTCATTGAATACTCTATTTTCTACAGGATGAAATTCTTGTTCACACAAATATTTCGTTTTCACTCAAAACATTCAGCAAATATTTGCTGAAACATGTGATTTCAGTTGTTCAGAAAAAACCATGCTTATCAGCTATAATATCCCAAGGACATTGATAACTAACGAAATAATTTTATCACAGTTTTCGAAAGTATAACAATTCTCAATATAAAACAATAGCTAATACTAAAGTTTCTCCAAATCACATGAATCAAAATCAAATTTAAAGACACATTCTACTGAAAATTACAAATGGACCTTTTTCATTTGAATTGACTCTCAGTTACAATTAGTAATAATTTCTAAGGATGACATCTCGATTTCAATATTTTTTCAAAATGTTTAACATAACATTTGACAGAGAAATCTATATTCCTCAAACAATTCGCAAGAGAACACATGTTGTATAGTGGGAAATTCAAACCTAGATTGGTTCGAGATTTAGGTAGGCAAATATACAGTGCTAGTCAAAAGTCCCCTCCCCCCCTCGTATCTTTGGAACGGGTATACTTATAATAATGAAATTTGGAGGGTGGAAATAAACGGATGTAGGCTTCTTAACTGGTCATAACAGGTGACGCAATAGTCATAAATGACGTCACAAGGCCACTGTGACCAAAAATTTTAAATGGGACCCTATGGCAAGTGACAGCTCGTTTGAAAGGTATTGAAAATACCTATTCAGTCATACCAATTTTGTTTGGGTTTCGGCTGATTTTGATTGATAAATTGAAGAAATACGAAAATTATTGTTTCGCATTTAATTAATAAAGATTTTAAAGTACGCCTCTGGTTCATTGTCAAAAAGGTTGACGTGTTTGAATTATCTACTTGTCAAAAGTGTTTATACCTTGAAAATTTACCTAAGCTATTGTTTAACGAGACGTTTAAGTGTTTACATAGGCAAAATGGTACGTACTGTAGCCGACAAAGTAGCAGCTATCTTAATAATTGGTGAATGTAGAAACAATTTCCATGCAGCGGAACGACTGTTTAATGAGAGGTACCCCGATCGCCCTATATCGAGGGTTTATTTGAGGGAGCTTCTTCGGAAGCTTGAAGCATCAGGTAGTGTTCAAGATGCCAAACAATCTGGTCGACCAACAATTAGTGATGACAAAAAAATTGACATACTTGGAGAAATGGTAGTNGAAAAACTCAACCATCCTTAACATGCGATTAATGATACAGACGTCGAAAAATGTTGCATCGTTCTAGTATGTAGGAAAATTGTTTTTTGAATTCTTTGTGAGGAAGAATTTCCAATTTCGCTTTAAATCATTGAATAGGTTGATAAGTAATCGAAGTGATATGTGATTTTCCAAAAGAATATATTTACATATATCAAAATTCTGAAATTTGTTTATGAATGGTTCTTTATTGATATTATCAAATGACGGTTTTCAATCATTTTCTTCTGTTCGAATTTGAAAAGAAAATGAATAATTGAAAATCTTGTCTCGAACTAATTATTTGAATAGTAGTGCATCAGTTGAAGAACATGCTGAATGCTCAAGAATTGATAGATTAACAATGAGAATGGAATATTTTCCATACTTTTTTCTGACTATATATACCTCCTTCAGATTATATTCTGGAACTGCCCCCATTTTGATGTTAGTTGTAGCTCTCAAATATGAGAAAATTGATTTTATGACATTTTTTTCAATACGGTCCACTTATGTTACAATTTCTCCCACATCTTCCCAAAATATTTGATGTAGATGTTTGTGACTCATCATTCGTTTCAAAAAAGTGTCAAACATATACTTTCGTCTAACTACAGGTGAAAATTTAGACTATTATTTTAGGAATACCGCTTTTTGCAGGTTCCGTTTCTGGCATTTTGGTGAATGGAAGGACGTCATTGTAGACGATAAGCTCCCAACATACAAGGGAAGATTGGTTCATCTTCATTCTTCAAATAACACCGAATATTGGATTGCTCTGCTGGAGAAAGCTTACGCAAAGTAAGTATGTATTCTTACAATATTTTATGGGGCAGAGTGGTGATTTGAGAAACTTTCAACACAGGAAATTGAATATTCTGCTTTCAACCAGCGAGGTAGATGAAATCTAAAAGAGGTCAAATGATACCTCTGAATATTATCCAAACTATTTTCTCTTGACAAGTATCACAATGCAATGGTAGGAATAATAAGAACCAGCCCAACCAAAAAAGTGGATGTTTTATAAGGTTATTTTTGAAACAAAAATCAATATATATAGTCTCCTTCCGGAAACAAACTCATCTGAAGAAATTTCTACTCAAATCTGGATTATACCTTTAGATATTTCGAAATATCCAGGGCTTGAGCACAAACTAATTCATTGGATTTATGATGATTGTCCAACCAGGTTTTTCTGGCTTTCTTTGGTGCCATATTCCTGAGAGAAAGAGAAGTAGGCATCATTGTGAATGAAGCATAATATTAATGGCATACAATTATACAGAGCGTTGAAGACTGCTTCACATAAAAAGTCGCGGCAGTGACATTTGGCTTAACTGCGATCGACCTCATACAGTTATGATTCCTAGTGTAGAGGACTATTTTCTTCGGTAGGAGAAATCACACGATCACATTGTTGATTCAGTGATGAATCAGAAACATACTCAGGTTCTGTTGCAGGTGCAGATCCAAGATAGATATATCGACGTACTCAGGGTTCTGTATAAAAAAAAAACATTCAAAGACAGAAACTGGTACATATCATTTCAGTTATTTAGAATGCTCGTAAGTATAATTGCTTGAGTTACTTTCACACATACTTCATCATTCACGCTTTTGTTATCCAAAGATGGGATGTAAGTTGAAGCTACTTCTGCGGAAATGGACTAATTCACTGAATTGAATCGGTTATTTAGCTTGAAGTTTTAACTCTTAAGAACATTTTCTAAAGACGGAAAGTGAAATCGCGTCAAATGCATGTGATGAAATATGGTCATGTACGAAAGAATTTTGAGCAAGTATTAGAAATGAGATAATTTCATTGAGTTCCTGATAGTGAGGCTGATTTTCTCCCCATAATTCAGGTTTTGATTTCAAACTCACTGAAAATATTATATGAAGGCAGTTTCTTGAGTACACATTTCTATTCCCTCATGAATGTACCTAATTTCATTTCGTACAATCATTTCTATTATTTTCTACCATATTGCTGAAGTTTCAATATATTTTCCAGATTTTATGGCTGTTATGAACAGCTTTCATTTGGATCTACAACGAGAGCCTTACAGGATCTTACAGGTGGTATTGTACAGAGTTTTGGACTCACTCATCAAGACCGATTTCTTACCTTCCAAGTATTGAATAGTGCTGTTCCCAGATCTAGTCTTCTGATCGCAACCATAACACAGGTAAACCTTTGTATCTCTGAAGCAATGTTTCCACTCTAATTGAAAGGTGGTATATTTTCAGGATATATTATTTTCTGGGAAAAGGAGGTTTTGCTTACTTCATTTCTTTGAAAGTTACCCACATTTTTTTGTATAGAGATAGAGAAGTAGAAAACCAAAAACTTCCTTTCCCATTTGAACTTAACTGATGAAACGAAGATGTATGCAAAAAATTCGAAAACCATCTGAGACGATCATCATCACTAGACAGAGGAACATTTTTCTGATATCGACGATCTTTTCTCGTTGGTGTCATCTAAATGCAATATACCAAGTAGATCAGGTTTTTGATCTTTCCATCAGGATTTTGATCTCTTGATCAGGGCATTTCAATTTTCTCTGTATTCTGAAACAAATTTCTCTTTCCTCACGAGTTTCTATCCGTTTGAAGTATCTGTTCCTTCTTTTTTTCTTCTTTCCGGCTTTATCATAGCCTCGTTCCACATGTGTGAAAATCGTATTGTTTGTACTACTTGTCCACGTTTCATTGATAGTGGACTGTATGACACTTCTATCATACTCGCGCCAGCTAGTGCTTATGCCAAGTTATTCCTCTAATCCACTGCCTGCTATGGGGTTGACCCAACACATTCCTGAAGTTGTTTCTCGATGAACTTTGTGTGGGTCATTCGCCATCGCAGGTCGTCGCAGAGGAATTGGTCATCCCTCTGAGTGCGGTACCCTTTGATAACTGCACATTTTCAGTAGGCGCATTACCAATCATATCGAACTTTCTACTGAAGCCAGCTTCTAAACAGCTTGGTCACATTTCTGAAAATCTGACCTTTTGTTATTGTGTTTGTAAGTATCAGTCTTATGCATCAACAGAATCCATGTTCAACCTAATCGATCTCAAAATACTTTATTCTTGCTGTCCATTTCATATTCGTTTCCTTTGTCTTCTTTCCAAGATCGCTGATCTGTATCTTTCTTTTGGTGTTGGCCACCTGTATCTTTTTCCAGGGGTAGTAGAACGGTCTCTTCTTGGATCCAAGCAATCTATCATCTCTTCTTAGATCGATGCCATTTCTACTGCTTCACTCTGACATGGAAAGATCCTGCTTGTCGTTTTCTTTTGGTGGTTCCCCTGTTCGCTTTTCTGTGGTTGCAACAGTGATTCTTAGTGAATAATATGGGTTTCCCATACGACTGTACCTATTTGGATTTTTCCTGGAGCAGATTTAGCAGCTTGAAACTCTGATGTAGTTCTCAATACAGCATGCATCATTTATATCTAGCTCCAAAATTTTCTGTATCCTACCGACCTTCAAGGTATCGATGATCAATTTCGAACGTCAGATTTGTACGTTTGAGCTTATTTCTCACCAAGGTTCATACTTCAATAGTTAGTCTCATAGTTTTCTTGGTGACCAATGTGCATTGAAGGGGTGACCTTTGTATCTCTGGTATCTGTGAAGTAGGGAGTGTAAGTGTAGACTCACAGCACTTAGGCCACATGTGACCCATTGTACATCCTCCAGAGGAGTTGTCCTCCTAGGTCATCGTCCATCCTATTCTTTCCAGGAAGGTCAAAAGGTCACTAGGAGACATCTCATTTATATTGGCAGGTGTAGGCCAAGACTCGCCGAACACACTCTCTTTGGCAACCTTGAGGTGTCTCACGGTGGCCTCCGCGAAGGTTTTGGAAGGTGCAGCGATATATCTGTCGTTGCGCGGCTTTTTGAACCTTTTTGGGGTTTCCTCCGTGGAGATGCACAGGTGAGGGAGCTTTCCTTAGGGGCACCTGGTTCCTTGCCTTCATTCAAGGCGTGGATCTTGGCGCCTACCGCAAGAAGTACCCTTGCTCTTGGAGGTGATCTGCTATGTCCAGCCTCATTCCAAGCGGTAGATTGGGGTGAACATTTCTGTTCACCCCCAGCTACCGCCTTGGATTGAGGTGAGCACTTCTGTCCAGCCTCGGGATTCGTTTTCGTCTTTGTTTTTTCTGTTTTTGTGCTGTTTCATTCATGTGTGTTCCCACGAGTAGCAAAGGAAGAGGTGGTCACCTCTGGCTGAGCCAGAGGTTTCGACCAGTTTCTCAAGAGGATCTTTCGTGATCACATACCACCCTGCGGCCATTCAGCTGTCGATGCGATTCTTTACACCTCAGCTTGGGTAGGCTGGTCCACGGTGGCATGTTTTGCAAAGGCTTTCAGGGGATTTTACTTCCCCTCAACCTTCTCATTTCTGCCTCTGACCAGGAGTTCGGCGACTCCGTCTGTAAGGCCACATTGGCTTCCCGGACAGGGCTTCCAGTCCCCTGGCCGTTCCTTTATCCGCCACCTGGGGACGCGGTCGATAGGTAGCCAAACCCACGGGGAAGTGGTGACATATTCCTTCCTATAAAATTAGTACTCAGTGAAGAAAATTTCACTCTTCTAGTCGTGTTACACATGCCTTGCTTTAACATTGTTCATTGTTGGGTTTTCTAGGAGAAAGATAACAAAAGACACCTCCGATTACGCAATGGCCTAATCACCCAACACGCCTACAGCGTAACAGGTTTGGCAAGAGTGAGGGGTGTTTCTGGAGAGGTTCCACTGGTTAGGCTACGAAATCCATGGGCAAGAGGAGAGTGGACCGGACCATGGAGTGAAAGATCATGGGAATGGGACGGTCTATCTAACAGAGACAAAGAACTGCTAAGTGTGAGAGTGACGAATGACGGTGAATTCTGGTGGGTATTTTGGTAGAATGATAATAATTATAGACATATTAACTATGAATCTAATGATATGTTACCAGTTCGATGACATTTGAAGTAATATTTATTGAGAGATGTATTAAGATATATGAATATGTTGAAAAAATCGCGGAATAAATGAAAGACTCATCTTTTACACAAGCATATGTTTTTTAGGGGAGTTTGACTAAGCAAGCTCCTGTTGAACAGTATCAAGAAATATCATTAAGAAATTTCAGTCTCCGTTCTTTCATTGATTGATACGTAACACTGCAGATATATTCCCCCATCTCTATGGAAAAAAAAGTTGAGCATACCTTTCAAGATGTTTTCCGAAAAGAATATGCGGGTTTACATCATCATATTCTCACATAATTTCAGGATGTCTTTTGAAGACTTTTCTCGGCACTTCACCCAGTTAGACTTAGTCCATATTGGACCAGACGATTGGATGATGGAGGGAGCGTTACATTCCAAACAACCCTGGAGGGCTGTCTTGGCAAGGAGAAGGTGGAGGTCAGGATACAATGCTGGTGGTGGTCCTACTTATGTTGGTAAGTAGAAGTTTGGTTTTATGATTTGGCGTATACGACTTCTCTGGGTATTCATTGATTCTCATCTATTTTTATCTCGCAATGATTTCCAGATGGTGCTGAGTACATACACTTTATAATGATGATACTGATACTTTTTTGTTCACCACAACAAATTAACCTACAGGAATTATCGTTAAACAGCCCATCAACAATGATTGATTCCTTCACCACTTTAGCACTCCAGGGTACTATATGAAAAAAATATGCTGATAATAAAAATAATAATATGATCAAACCAAACTTCTGAGCTATCAGTGACAATTTGAAAAAAATAACACTGTTTTGAATGAGTTGGAGAACCATTACAACTCCAGACCACTCAATAAAATGTCAGCTCAACTACTTCTTCAGCTGTAACTCTGTTACTCCCAAAGAACATTTTTGTATATTTGTTGAACTCATGCATTTTAGTCTCGTCATTGTAGTGCCCACTTCCACATTATGACCGTTTCAGTGCGTTATATTTTTGTGAAATTTTTTATGCAATTTTCACGACGCAAATGGATGCTTCAACACATATTTTAGAATAATCAAATAAAATACATTTCATTTTTGATAATTTTCAATGCAAAATGATGTGTACACCTTTATGTTAATTGACTATAGCTGTCATTTCATTATTGTAAGGAAACTAATTTCCAGCAACTTTCGAAGCTCTAAGCAGTTTCAATTCTTCGCATGACTCATTTGAATTATCCTAATTCACATACTCGAAGGATTTCATCATATATTTAACGATGAGTGTCGATGGTATTCGGCTGGAACCAACTACACCATCGCTCACTAGATTATTGTAACCCTTACCAAGTGTTCGAGTACGAAACATGAGTCTAATTATATTTGCCCATCTTCATTTTTGAGTTTCCTTCATGAATCCTTCAGCATGCAGGTAGGCTTGTGTTACCAGTAAAATGCGTTTATAAGAAGCTTGATCCACCATATTTTAGTCTTCAGGTTCATCAAGACAGTTAAATCATATATAAACAGAGTCTTTCAGTCATGATATCTCTACGTTCATCAAAGTCAATGTATTTTTCAACAAGGATCCATTTTGAAGAGGACTCGTCATAGGTTAGGTTAGGTTAGGTCTAAAGTGAGTGAGTGTATTCGCCCTGCCCTGCAACCCACAAGGGTTTATTGTGGTTCACACCTATTCACACTCGGCCTGTGAAAATTGTTCTATTGATGGTGATGGCAACTCGTCAACTACCTCACTTGTGTACGAAGTTGAAATTTTTGTGAGCAGGTCGTTCTGAACTTCATTGCCCCCTTCCTTTCAATGAAAGTCCTTTTTTTCCGAAATGGGGAAGTAGGGAGTCAAAGAGCTCTGACATGCATATGTGAATGTAATGTGATTCTCTATGAACTGAATGTATGCCCTCGCTCGACATGTACTGAGGTTAGTATAAGTTAATATAACTCTCTAAACCTGAACCCTTGTCCAATACACATTTTGCATCTCTTCCTTATTTTTCCGTAGGTTCTGCTTGCCTGCTGTATTTTCAAAATGAAACCTCAACAAATATACATCAAAACAACATATCTATTCTTCCCCAACGTCATATCATAACGTCTTCTGTCCTCATGGCGATGTTTTCCTATTGGATACCAACACCGATTCCGAGAAATGTCAGTCTCGTCCCCTTCGGCATTGAGACACAGGGCGTAGCTTTCATCAGCTTCGAGTCCAGGCCAGAGTGTCAAGAAAGCATTCCAGAGAAGAAGAAGGCATCTGTAAGGCCAACTGTCATTTGTCTCTCTCGGCAAAATTGCCAAAATCTTCAAACTATTGTTCAAATCAGCTTCTGCAGTTCTCACATCATGATTTTAACGAATCTTTGCGATTGTGAGCTGTCTCACGATACTTCGTTCAGTATTTTACATGGGTGGCTACATAAGGACATATTACGAGCATCTAATATCTAGTAAAACCCTGTTCGTTTCACGTTCACTTCAATATCGGGTAATACACTACCATAAGACAGGCAGTTAGTGAATAAACGAGCCTCGTATTCAAAAATGACTGAATCTCAATCGTCTTATGTGGAGAATGTTTTAAGGAAATAATGAGGCTTGATTTTGGATGTTGATGAAGTGGTGCAAAATTCTGAATATTTTGTCTAACTCTACCTTCGCAATTCTAACATGGTAAATGTAAGATATTTTTTGGACATCGAATGATAAATGTTAACAATTTTTAACAACGCTGAGGACGAATGCAATTCCATTGTCCCAAAGCAGGTCCCTGAATTTTGTCGCAGTTAGAAAATTTGGACATGACTCACACAGTCTAAGCTTTACCTTAATGTTGACAAAATATCTTGTTGAAGTACATGTTTCTACACGGTTACATCAACTTAAGAATTCAATTTTCAGACACCACGTCAATGAACCCCCAGTTCCACGTTCAAATTCCAAGGACAACCACTAACAAATGCCACGTGGTGGTATCAATAACTCAGTACTACGAAACCAATGTGATAGATGTCAAAAAGAAGAGAGCTCTTTACGCTATAGGATTTGCAGTCTACGAAGTACCTCATTCTATGCAAAGACTCACTCCACATTTTGTTACAGAGCAGGTAGGTTTTTATGAGTGAATTTTGTGAAACAAGTCCTTGTCATAACTTGTTCAAAAACACTGTAATATAACCGATATGTATATGGTTTTTCTTTTATTCTTGAATAAACCGATCGTTTGCAGTGTAATAAATGCTTATTTCTGATTCATTTATTTTTTGAAATCAATTTGGCAGCGGATGTCACTAGATGCAGATTTCTCCACATCAAATTTTGAATATCAAGGCAGGTCCGAAAAAAGCTGTAGGGGACGAGCCGATCGCACTAAGCCCGGTCTTTTTGAAATCTATCCACATCGTGTTCCTTTTTGAGATTGTTTTTCTTCTAAGTTCCACTCCGGAACGAGGCAAGATTCTAATATTTTCGGCTAAAGTCCTTTCAACTAGCCTGAAATTGTGCGGGAATTGCTAGAATAATGTGCCATTAAAAACAACAAGAAGCTTCAGATTAGGCTTATATTAGAAAACAAATGAAAAGAATAAACGTAAATGTTTATAGACAACAAAAAATAACCAAGTAGAAATATAACATGAGAGTAAAACAGAAACAATAAGCAAAAATGTTCGAAAGGTGAGATTGAAATTCAACAAGAAAGCACGTCTATAATAGCTGATTCTCAAACAAGAATTATCCCGTTATCAACTTGTGAAATGTTATATAACTATTCTCTCATAAGTTTGAATTCTGAAGAAAACCTAAATTACTCTATTCGAGTTTGGCGAAAATTCTAAAGTGATTATTTGAACTTGCCTGGCCTCCATCCTCTCTCGCTCTAAACCGATGTAGGGGTTGCTAAAAAAAATCTAAATTGGCTGACGATACTATACTGGATTCTTGTCTCCCACACTGGAACGATATCCGTTTGAAATATAAATCTGTTCTAAGTGACACCAAATGAAACACAACAATAACCTCACTGACAGCAATTTACCGTAATTCCTCTATAACCAATTTCCTCTGAGAACGCTGGACTAGCTACCACCGAATCACCCGATAATCAGATGGCGACGACCCTCTTATTCCAAATCAACTTCTTGGTTCAATCCGCGTAACTGTCTCGATCGCGACTCCCCTTCACAACTCCCTTTCGGAACGGTTCGATCGCCACTGCCTCCCACTCAACTGTCTAATTAGTATTCCCAAGTCTGTAAAAGGGTCCCTAACACCTTTCCCTTGTACCGTACCCTGATTAGTCAGACCTCTGTCTAATGTTTCCGAATTTTTCCATAACTCTTTCGTGGGTTGGGCTACCTTTCGGACGCGCCCCCAGGTGGCGGATAGGGGAACGGCCAGCGGACTGAAGGCCCTGTCCGGGAAGCCAATGTGGTCTTACGGACGGGGTCGCCGGACTCTTGGTCAGTGGTAGAAATAAGTAGAGTGAGGAGAACTAAAATCCCCAAAAGCCTTTGCAAAACATGCTACTGTGGACCAGCCTATCCAAGCTAAGGTGTAAAGAATCGTGCCGACAGCTGAATGGCCGCAGGGTGATATGCGGTCACCAACGATCCCCTTGGGGAACTGGGCAAAACCTCATTGTAATCAGCCTACCTCTGGTAATGTGGAGTTCTGCCAGAGTTGACTAACTCTTCCCTTGCTACTCGTGGTAACACACATGAATGAAAAAAAGGCAAGGAACCGGCTGCCCCTGCAGGAACGCTCCCTCACTTGTGCACCTCCACGGAGGGAACCCAAAGAAGGTTGGAAAAACTGCGTAACGATAGTAATATCGATGTACCTTCCAAAACCTTCGCTTGAGATACCTCAAGGTTGCCAAAGAGAGTGTGTGTTCGGCGAGTTTTGACCTACACCTGTCAATATGAAGGATATGTCTCCTAGTGACCTGTCCACCTTCATGGGAAGGACAGGATAGACGATGACCTAGGAGGGCAACTCCTCGGTCGGGGGATATACAATGGGTCATATGTGGCCTAAGTACTGTGAGTAAACTCACCCTCTCTACTCTACAGATACCAGAACCCTTTCTACTCAATACCTATATCTTCTTTTTTTCGAAGTCATTGGTCAGTTATTATTTCAAATAAATTGTCGGGCCCACCTATTGAAATATGGTCGAACTTCCTGTCCATGAAGCTAATTACAAAAAACTCCTTCGCGTTCCCAGTATTATAACTTATCATCAGGATACGTTTGTTTAGTCTAGCCTGAACATAACATGACCTACATGATGCCGCCAAGGTTCAACAATCATAAATAAAACTCAACGCTTACTCTGTTGTAAAAGTATTGATACCGAAAAACCAGGTGACTGACCTAGATCTTCATGAATAAAATGATACTTTACGTTAACACTCGCAATGGCAGTTATTACAACACACTTCAATGTTGAATTTCCACCTCAGAGATTGCAAAACCGCGACACGTGTTTCGGTATACGATATCATGTTCGAACGCCCGAATATGCTATCGTTACTATCTGTGCTATCGACCAATGTTACAACAAAGCCAAAATATTACTAACATGCGTATTTGATGTAATTTGAAAATGTTAACTGTTACTATTGAATGAAAATTTTATTGAAGAGCCTATGAAGATAACATGAAGACTCTTTTACTTTCAGGGAAGTCAACGAGGATAATATGATCATTAGAAATATAGCTTCGGAGTTTGTAGATGATTCATCCCCAGTATCCGTGAGTACATCTTCATCTCATATATGATAATAATATCCATTCGAATACCAAAACAAAATATTCATATGGTGCATGTAGGAAATAATGCAAAAAGGAGCTGAAACCATTAAAAAAAATTGTTAATTTCTCTATGAAGTTGAACAAAACTCAGTTCTAGTCGACACTGTCTATGGTTTCTTTCCTGAAGGTGGCTAGTTTGAATAGCATGAGTGAAGAAAATATTTTATAGACATTGTTAAATATAGTCTCTTTGGATTAGGGTATGAGTTTATTTGAAACTCCTTGCTTCATTTCTTTTTTCCGAAGTTTCCCGCGTTTGTGTTTCCAAAGCTGGAGAAGTAGAAAGCAAATCAGTTTCTTTTCCAAAAACCAAAGACTCCTAAAAAATTTTATTGAGATATAACCGAACTATGAGGCCTGGAATATCTGGACTTTAATCCTGGTGCACCTCCTGGGAAACATCTTTGAACAAAAAAGTGAAGACAAGGGACTGATTAAGTTATCACCAATATTATTGGGTCTGATATCCACAGAAAATAGCTGTCGATGAAACACCTGTATTTCTATCATAGCATGAGAATTCTTCCCACAGCAAAAATTATTACTATGAAAATTAATGACCGTGAAAAGTTAGCTTCATTCGTAAAGAAAACTTGACGTTCAAAGTTTGAGTTTCTGGCAATCACCTGGAAATGCCACTTGCCAGAAATTAGTATTGATCAGAAGGTCACGAGAAAGCAGCGCTTGCAATCTTTGAACATGGTGAGGACAGAGTAGAATATCCAAGAATCTCCTTCAAGCAACTTGGAGATCAGCAATTAGATTTAAAAAAATCTTTCTAGTTCTAGTTTTTGAATTATCATTATTACACTTTCATTTGAAACTGCTTTCACGTCATTCCGTATATATTGCTTTGACAGTTTATACATTTCCGCCAGCTTCTGAATGACGATTGTGAATGTATCCTTTTCAAATTCCAACTTATTTTTTGCAGAGTGACGGAAAATCGGTCATCACAAAACTGTTGGTGAAATATCCTCCTGAAGTCGATGCTAGTCAATTACAGAAAATACTCAAAGCCCATTGGAAAGCGTATCTGTCAGAGAAACCTAGTTTAGAATTGTGCAAGAGTCTCATCATGTTGAGGGATTTCAACATAAGTGGAAGAATCAATTTGATGGACATTCCCATTTTGATGCACATGCTACAGTATTGGAGAGTAAGTCAAGACTAATCGAAAAGTTATTTATGCGATTGTGATGTTGATATAAATTTTTTTTCTTGAATCGGCTTCTATTACTGTGTAATTTTCAATGATGCATTTGGGAAAAAACTGTTCCTTGTGCTGAAAAACACTTTTTTTTCAGATAAAAAATATTTTTGGGAAACATATTATCAGATATCGCAGAAAACTGAATACATATGATTTGATGTTTTCTTTCACTCATTTGATATCCATAATGTTCTTCAAAATAGATGTGTTTTTCACCATGACCACTTTTCATGGCATTTCAAAAGAGGATTTGTAACCATCGATGTTGAATGTCATTTTCAGTCAACATGTTTAAACCGTTATAGCGTTATAAAAATGTTGGAGAGAAAATTTACATCAATACACCGGATTTGTTGTGTAAATAGCCACTAAAAGCAGTGTGACAATTTGATGACATGAAAATTCCCTACAGTATCACGGAGAAAATTGTTTTCCAAAATATCTAATTCAAAACGGATATGAACATATATTACTAATTTCCACATTGAGAAACAGATTCAATGAAGGGGGAAGAATTGAACCCTATCAAGTTATTCAGTTAAATTTTTGAATTGTTAAGTCTATTATTGACCAAGAATTCCTAAAGATTAAGTTCCAAACTTATCTCTTTTAAGTGTAATACGTCATAGTCATGGTTAAACCCATGTCCCTCTGCTAAATGTTAGTTTGCAACATATGAACATATATTACTAATTTCCACATTGAGAAACAGATTCAATAAAGGGGGAAGAATTGAATTAAATTTTTGAATTGTTAAGTCTCTCTCTCTCTCTATTTTAGATGGTCGTTGTTTCCTATCGTCAGGCGCATATGACCAATGCTCCTCCTGTTGGTTAACAGGAGCTTCGTCGGGGGGTGCAGCGGTCTTGCACAAAGCAATGCTGCCACCCATTTTTTTTACTAATTTCCACATTGAGAAACAGATTCAATGAAGGGGGAAGAATTGAACCCTATCAAGTTATTCAGTTAAATTTTTGAATTGTTAAGTCTATTAATGACCAAGAATTCCAAAAGATTAAGTTACAAACTTATCTCTTTTAAGTGTAATACGTCATAGTCATGGTTAAACCCATGTCCCTCTGCTAAATGTTAGTTTGCAACATATGAACATATGTTACTAATTTCCACATTGAGAAACAGATTCAATAAAGGGGGAAGAATTGAATTAAATTTTTGAATTGTTAAGTCTATTAGTGACCAAGAATTCCAAAAGATTAAGTTCCAAACTTATCTCTTTTAAGTGTAATACGTCATAGTCATGGTTAAACCCATGTCCCTCTGCTAAATGTTAGTTTGCAAATATGGAATTTGAATTCTTTTTCAAGAAACTACCCATATGTTCTACTGTTCCTTCGAAAAAGTTTCTCCCCGTTTTGCTAATAGAATAGAAACTCTAAGAGGTGTCTTATTGTCTTGTGGTTTCAAATATGAAAAATTGAACAATCGGATGGTCATAATCGATGGTCGTAATCGACACGCATTGTTCAACTCCGACAAGAATATTTGAGGCGGATGAAAAGCTACCAAGAATTCAGCAGACATATAATCTACCTCGACGAAACTTGGTTTGACAACCATGATGTTGTCAAATATGGCTGGGTATTGTGCTTTGAACACATCTTCTTCAAGGGGAAAACGTGTGGCTGTGGCTTTATTCGAAACCTGTTTCAGTGAGCAGCTTCTCCCAATAATTCGGTTATTGTTATGGATAACGCTTCNCGAGAATTCAGCAGACATATAATCTACCTCGACGAAACTTGGTTTGACAACCATGATGTTGTCAAATATGGCTGGGTATTGTGCTTTGAACACATCTTCTTCAAGGGGAAAACGTGTGGCTGTGGCTTTATTCGAAACCTGTTTCAGTGAGCAGCTTCTCCCAATAATTCGGTTATTGTTATGGATAACGCTTCGTATCATTCTCGGATATTGACTAAAATACCAAACAATAACACGAAAAAAGCAGATATTGTTGATTTCATGCGAAATCATGACATGGAAATACCCGAAATCCAACGAAAAAGGTATTACTGGCGACCATAAAACAACGTAATTTCGAAAAAGAGTATATTGTTGATTCGATGTGTGAAACACGTGGTCATATTATCTTGCGTTTGCCTCTATACTATTGTGTGTTCAATCCAATTGAAATGGTTCAGGCCACAATGAAAGAAAGCTTGCGGAAATGTAATCAGTCACCGACTTTGAATGCTGTAGTGCTTGACAATATAAGGCGACTGGTGAATGAAGTAGGTAATAGTGATGTGTGGAAGAACTGTGTGACAACACAAAGAAAACAAATATTGTGTGCGAAGTTCCATAAATCCGATCGTTATTCAACCTGATGATGATTCCACCTCTTCTGAATATAGCGAAGCATAATTTTGATTTTTCTAGCAATTTTGTTGGCATCTATTTTTTTTGTAAATATATGTTTGACGAGAATCCGGTGTGATTATTTGTATTTTCATTGTATTTTAGAGTTTAGGACTCGGAAATCAACTACCTTGAATTTCGATGTTTTTCATAATTACCCATGGTGGAAAAATTCAGTTGAGATAATTTTTTCATGGGGTGATCAATTGCTATGATAGTAAGAATAAGTAACTGAAAAACTACCACTGAAAAATAATATGCCGACGCCTTTGTCGAGGCGGGAATTCCTTCTCTGTGCTGTTCCAATTGGTATTGGAAATACTATAAACACAGCTCATCAGTAACACTCCCATACGTATTAATGTGCTTGCTCTTCTTTGAATACTGACATTATTACACTAACATGTTTCAGCTGGCGTTTCAAAAATTTGAAAGAAGTCATAATTGTGGAAAAACCTCCAGCTACCACCTGAGGGCCTTGCTTTGGGAGGCTGGTTGTACGGTTAGTAACAAAGTTTTGGAATGTTTGGTACTACGTTTTGCGAAAAATAGAATACTTACTACAGAAAATTACATTATGGCTCTGGTGAGATTACATCTATCTCATGGTGAGTTTATCGAACCATTTTCAGAATTTTCAATCATTATCATTTTTTTGCAGAACGATACCACAATTTGGATACCAAGATGAAAGGCAATCCTATTTCTCTAGAGGAAGTGAGTTTTTTACAAAATTTTTAAAATCGAAAAATAACAATTTTTAGCGGAAAAATACCTACTTCACTGTTCACTTCTCAGAAATGTATTATTACATAATGGTGATATCCCTGATTTTTCATCACAAAAAATGACTTTTGTTGAACCACGAAGACCTGAAGAAATCAATGAGTATTTTTTAAACGTGGTTGGGCATTCAATAGTAAATGATGATACTCTTTCATTCTACAATAATGATAAATTGAACGCTCCTATGAACTTTTCCCTTACTGATATATTTGATGATGATATTTTGACTGCTATCAAAGAAATGAAATCTAATGCTTCAGGTATTGACAATATAAATATCAAGATGATTTCTTTAGTGATACCACACTGTATTGATGAAGTTAAACATATTTTCAACGAGTTCTTCAGACAGGGAATTTTTCCAGTTGTTTGGAAGGTTGCTAATATAATTCCAATTCCGAAAAAGAATGCACCTACCACGTTCAGTGACCTACGCCCAATCAGCATTCTGCCCTCATTCTCTAAAATATTCGAGAAAAATGTTTCCCGTCAAATAAGAGCTTTTCTTGAAGAAAATCGAATACTTCCGTACGAGTAGTCTGGGTTTTGCAAAAAACATGGGACACAGACTGCCCTCTTGAAAGTAATCGACGATCTTGCGAGATTCAGAGATCAATCAAAAGTCACCATTTTAGTACTGCTTGATCAAAGTGAAGCTTTCGATTCAGTTAATTTCGATTTACTCATCAACAAGCTCAAGTTTATAGGATTCGATGACATTTCTGTTAAATGGATGACCAGCTATCTCACAGGCCAATCACAGAGGGTCAAACTGGATGATTACTCATGGTCATCCCTAAAAGAAACAATCTCNTATATTGTAAATAATGTTTGTTGAGCTGTATCATAAAGAAAATATTTATTCTTAAGTATTATTAAATGAAATGTGCAATGTAACATAATATAATTTCAAATAAATTATTCAAATCTAATATATAAAAATAGATGTTTGTTGGTTGGTTGGTAAGTGATAAACTTCTTCATCGCTCAATTGATCGTGATGAAACTTGACATGGATGAGTGATTTTTCATAGAGAAGGTTTTAAGGATATACATTTTTCTGTAACTCGCCACTAGATGGCGCTATAGAACAACTTTTTGAAAGCACTGTTCTATAACGCTGTACACGTATAAGTTCGTTGATTCCGAGTCTGTCAAAACATTAGAACAGCAGCGATACAGCAACATAGTACTAATTATCAGTACTACAACTACCAAATTCAACGAAGACGAAGCCGCGGGCAACAACTAGTAAATTATATATCTAACTTTATCAGTAGATGTTTGTGAATATGATATACATGAACTTGGAATATATTTCAAAATTGTTCAATCAAAAAAAGTTTCAATTTGTGATATTGATGACTGATTTATTTTGTGGAAATTCATCTTCAATTAAATGATATAGATATAGAAATAAAATACTTTGTCTAATTTCCACTCACTTAATGTATTGATATTAATACGACCAAGGTTTTGGTTTTTACACCATTCTCAAGTATTAGAAGTGTTAGAAGTATTAGAAGTATTATTAGAAGTATTAGAATACTTGAGAATGGTATAAAAACCGAAACCTGGGTCGTATTATTATCAATACATTAAAAGTAAATGGAAATTGAAGTATTTTATTTCTATATCTATATCATTTAAAAAAAGTTTTGCAGTATAGTAGTTTTGGAAAATGTGCTTTTCAATAGTAAAGATATAGAAACTTCGCTCATTCCAGAACAATCCAGAATATTCGAAAGTATCACACAACAATCTCGAACATTCGTGGAACATTCGGAAATATCCCAAATCACTGTGGGACAATTGGAGTGGAGGTAGCTTTTTATCCCCCATTCATGAAGAAAGTTCCCATTTATGAAAGTTCCGGTTATATGGAGGTTGGAAGTTTATGCCTTCAGAAGTTTACACGACAGACCAGAACATTTTACAATAGTCTGGAACTTTCGGGAATATTGTATATTACTGTGGAATGCTCTAGAATAATATAGATCATCTCAAGATTTTTTTTGTGTGAGTGGATCTACATATGGATAGGGGATAATGCAACATTATCCGATCCCTCATAGATTATAATTTTATTCCAACTACCTCATTTCAACTCCTTGTGCAAAACCCGTTGCAAAATCATCTGGCACATTCTACAAGATAATTTTGCAACGGACTCCAACTCCGTCACCGAGTTGGCTACATTTGGATGAGCAGATGCTTCTCAAGAAACATTGAAAACCTTGATATTTCGTACTGGAATTTCTGCCGTGAAATGACTGGTCTCCATAATGATCTTCTGAGGAAGATAACTTGGTTAGCAAAACGCGCATCGAGATATCGTATTTTTTGTTCTGATGTTGGAAAAGTGTTTCTCAATAGATTGAAAACCTTCACGTATTCAAGACCATGACTTCTGATTTCCTGGGATAGAAAACTGAGGGATTATTCAGGGTCTGTCATAATGGTGTTTTAAACAGTCCACTCTAGTTAGTTATTGAATCACTAAACTTATTGAAAAATGAGTTTTGTGATATTCACAAAGGAAAAAACGAAAAAAAAACATATATTAGTATTATCATTCTCATTTCAATTTGCTTCGTTCCATACTCAAAACTATGAAGTTACAGGTACTGTATGATGCTGAAGAATTGATAAAGATTGAAATTTTTGCTTGTTGCACGTAACGTGTCTTCGACTGTAGCATACCTATGGCACCTGTTGCACCTGTATTTGTACCTATACTTGTACCTGCACTTGAACCTGGAACATTAACAATCTTGCTGCCTGTTGTCCTGTTGCCTGTTGTTCGTTATTCTAGTATTCTTCAAAATGGGGTTCCATATTCAATTGGGGTTCACCGTTTCTTCTTTTCTGTTAAAATTCTCCGTGTGTTCGTGGATCTCTATTGCCTCCCGTACCAGTCGGCTATGGTATCCCTGGTTGGGGGCAATTAGTTCTTTCAAACTCGAAACGGCTTTCAAACTCGAAAAGTAATGACACTGAAAACCTCAGCCGGGAAAATTTAAACCATATTGGTATTGACATAGGTTCGATGGGACTGACTGATAAGTCAGATTCAGTTATTGTCAGTTATCTGGTGTTTCGAAAAAGTATTCACTTCGTTTCAGAGCAAGATATAAAGGTTAGACTCTGAAATTATTTGAAATATACCTTTTTCTACTTCCTCCATTTCAATCTAATCATTACATGCTCGACAACAGGTAGGTAATGGCTCAGTCACAATATACGTGTATTCTGAATTCATGGCGGTCAGTTCCTTGAGGATTTAAAAAAAAATATGAGTTATATTGTCCAAAAGCCAAAAGCCAAAATTTTCTCCCCAAATTGTCTGTAGAATCGAAATAAAAATCATACTTTCAGTAAATTTATTGTTCAACAGTTCATGGGTTGATAATGAATCTAGTTATATCCGTGAATCAACAACTGCTTGTTTTGATTATGAGCTGTCATTCAGTATTTCGTGAAAATTCAAAATGAATGATAACGATCAAGAAATTTGTGCTTCCCCACCAGATATTATCGAGTAAGCAAATATTGCCATGAATGATTTGCTGCCAGCAAAATCACGAGAGAAATACGAGTATAATTTCGAAAATTTTATGAGTTGGAGAGAAAAGAAAAACAAAACTTCGTTTTTTGAAAACGTTCTTCTCGTTTATTCTGAAGAATTAGCTGAATTTGATAATTTAATTGAGTTCTGACTGAGTGACTGAATGAGTTTAGCCATATTCTTGAACAATATATACTATATTGTTCATATAGTATATATTGTTCATATAACATATATACCTTTCCTTTCTACAGTCAGTCGTAGAAAAACTATAGTACGCACCTCGAGGATAAGGCCAATTACTTCCACTCGCGAATTATCACACTCGGTATGCACATCGTGCATACAAATTTTGCCTCGTGGGTTATTGGGTTCTTATCCTACTCGGTAACTAATATACTATTGCGATTTCAGCTGTAGTAAACTTGATTTAAATTCTACGTATACATAATCAACACCTATTTTCTTTTGTTGCTACTAAGATCTCCTATTAAAATGACCCTTCCAAATTAATTTCTAATACAGTTCTATATTCATTGTAGAAATTTTGTCATGTCAAGTTTCAAAATGAATGTAATAATTCAATGCTATTTGATTTTTGGAATATAGTTTGATTTTTGAGGGGGATAAGTTATATTCATTGGACTAAGTACATTGTTGAGAAAAAATAACCTATCACGTTTAAAAACATGTTTTTCCAAATTCAGACCAATGAGATTCAAGTTGTGTAATGTTTTTCTTTCAAAGTATATGTTTTCTCACAAGTTTTTCAACGAATACTCAATACTGTATAAAATGAAAACATTTCATTTTCAATTGGTGATTGCTCTGGAGATATTTGGTGTCATTTCACTTTTCTCAGTGACGTATTTTTTAGTTGAAAATAAGCAATTTTTCAAAAATCGTCTGTAATGATAGGCAAATAAAATCAACAGAATAAGCGCCAAGAATGAAAATCCGAAAGGCAACATCTTAACAAAGTTTGTTTCTGTTTCACAAAATATAGTCCCATTATGAACGGCATTCAAATATTCTGCTATAGAATAAACTTGTTGATTTTGATATGGATTAATGCAACTTTCCTCTGCTTTGCTCAAGATACTCACTAAATTATCTAACTGGTTTCTCTCAAGCTTGTTGGAGTTCAAGAAATACAAACAATCACATATAATAGAATTATAAAACAATGTGAGCTCTTTCAAATTCCAAAAATCTTGCATCATCGCTGGAGTAATGCGGGAAATCTCATTATGATCCAACAGCAAGCTTTCCAGTTTGACATTGCTGTTGAAAATCGGTTCATCCCAAAATCGAATCGAATTGTAGGAAAGACTAACCGAATTCAAACGAATAAGAGGTTCGAATTGTGTTGGTGGGATAGCAAATATATTATTCCTCTCCAAGCCGAGATACTTCAGAGATTTCAGGGGTAATAGGGGATTCCCTTCAGACGAAAGATAGGTTATACCGTTCCCCCCCAGAAGTAGGACTTCTAAATTCTCTAGCCCAGAAAACGTGTCAGGGTCCATACCACTTGGATAATTATTTCTGACGAATAAGTTATTCTCAAGGTCGAGCAAATGGAGCACTTTGAGGCTCTCAAACGAACCAGGTCGGATGTAGAATATCGAAGCATTTTTCATATACAAGGTATCGAGGTTTTCCAGCCCCTCAAAACTTGCATTAGATAAATGATAAAGTGGATCAAAGTTCAAGTTCAAAGTTCGTAGCTGTTTCATATTCGAAAATACTCCATTTGAAATATCGAAAGGGAAAATTCCTGCATCTCTGGGATTGTGCTGCAAATCTAATATCTCCAGTGAAGGCAAGATGACTCCCTCTGGTAAACACGTCAATTTATTTTCTCCCAGGAGAAGAGTGCGAAGATTAGGCAAGTTGGCGAATGCAGCACTGTGGAGTTCACCAACCATTACTCCTGATATATCCAGCGTTCTCAAATTAGGCATCAAAGGAAACGCCTCAGCTGGTATTTGATCAAACTGATTGTTGGCTAAATTCAGGTCAGTAATATTTGAAAGTGCAACAACTTCCAGTACCTGTTTCGGAAGTGACTTTCTGAAACCTGCATTGTTGAGATGCAGCAGCCTTAGAGGTAATCCAGATGCTACAGTTCTGTTCATAAAATCCGCTAAAGTTGAGACATTGAAACTATTCTCACCCACTCTTAATACTTCTAAGTTCCTTAAGTAAATCAAAGAATCCGGGTGAAGATATTCGACTTGACAAAACGTTAGATCAAGTTCCTTCAGCTTGGAATTATTCAAAGGTGCAAAGCTGTCCTCATTGATGTTCAAAAACTTGTTTTCGTTGACTGATAGTTCTATTAGCTTTGGAACAGTCAATGTGGAGAGAGCGCGTGTTACGTAGTTGATATCTGTGAATCCATTTTTGATCAGCGATAATCGTTTCAGGTTCACTAGCCCTACAAAAGTATCTTCATGTAGACTATTCAACAGGATATTGAAGGAAATGGACAAGTTTTCCAAACTGGTGAACTTTTCAAATACTCTCGGAGAAATGCTGGATAAATTGAAATTTCCTTCAATTCTCAACTTTTGTACTTGGTGCATACTATCCAAATCTCCTGGTCCAATATGACTGATTTGAGTCTGCACTATACTCACTTCCTTAGTAGTGATGTTCAAATCTATGGGCAATGTAGTGCATGATTCTCTACCCAAGCAAATTGTCAGTATTCTTTCGTATTCATTACATATGCAGCCACTTCCGTCTCTTCCCAAATGAATTCTATTCACTTGTCCCTTGCTAGAGTACGGTTTTCGCAGTTTATTGTAGATGTCCTCTCGCTCAGAAAAATCCTTCGTTTGGAACGAATGGAGCAGTAGTATCAATGATATCAGTTGGGGAAGTATTCTCAAACCCAGATGAAACATCACTAATTCCGACTCTGAAAAAAAGAAGAGATTAGTGGGATCATGTTGTATACATGATACGAAATATAAATGGTCTCCAATGTGAATCTATTTGGAAAATAATTCGTTGAGTTCCACTCTGTCACAAAATACAACATTTCTAAAAATGCCAACCTAAAAAGACATTTTTGTACAAATGTCATTAAAAGCGACATTTTTAATGGTTGTCAAAGGTATGAAAAGATGATGTTTACAAAGTAGCGTGTTGAGTATAGTTTTTACCAGTGTTTGCATTAACATTTTATTCTTGAAGTGAAGATGACGATGCTGTAACGCTGTTGGGATTATTTTTTCAGCAATAGCCTTATTAAGAGAACTAGATTGATCGATGTAACACTTAGCTACTGTTGTAGACTTCCATTGTCCGTGCCTGATTCTGCTAGCAAAGAAGCAGATCTTCTGATACAGTGACCTGTACATTCGTTTGGTTCCGGGAGGATCAGAAACTCAGCAATAGCGGAGGGCATTTTTCCAAACGAGTTTATACCAACTGGGGTGGCACTGCATTTATAATTCGAGTATTTCAGAAAAAAAAAGTTAATGATTGATAACAGAAGGGCGTAATGCAACGTATTCATTGAAATAGTCAATGTTTTTTTCAACAATGCATAAAGACCCACCTATTTTGGTTTTGTATTCGAAATTTGGGGAATCAATGATTTATCCTGAATTTCACCAGTTCGGACTTCCATTGTCTGCTATATGAAATGATTTGAAATCCCTGAAACAACTAAAAAAGAATAATCAAAAATTAATAGCTGAAAATAATATTTATATTAAGCAAAAATAAACCTGAAATGAAATAATAGTGAAATAACCTACAAGTAAAATATAACAATTGAATGAATAAAAATAAAGGAATGAAAAAAGAAAATAATAAAAAGTGTAGAGATTCCAAGTCACGTTAGTTCACGACGTTTCGATTGTTAGTATCTACAATCGTCTCCGGGTGATGACTGGACTGATTCCTCCGAAAGATTACTATTTATAGGTCGTTGAAATACTTTCACTTATCCCTGCTTTCCATTCTCCGCTTCACTGATTCCGTGAGAGATTACCGTTTTGGCGGGAGTTGGCCATTTTTCGTTTGATGATGGGTTTCCATATGTTGTGTATTTCTACGCTGGCCTGGCTGAATACGTTGTTGGGCAACATGTATGCGGCTTCCTTGAATTTTCTCTTGAACCAATGTTCCTCTCTGTGCAAGATCTCAGCATGGGACCACTCAATGTTGTGTTGATGGGTCCAAACAGGGTTTGCTATTCCTGATTTGCTGGTTTCTCCTCGCAAATCAGGAATAGCAGACCATGTTTGAACCCATCAATACCACATTGAGTGGTCCCAAGCTGAGATCTTACACAGTGAGGAACATTGGTTTAGGAGAAAATTCTAGGAAGCCGCATACATGTTGTCCAACAACGTATTCAGCCAGGCCAGCGTAGAAATACGCAACATATGGAAACCCATCATCAAACGAAAAATAGCCAACTCCCGCCAAAACGGTCATCTCTCACGGAATCAGTGAAGCGGAAAATGGAAAGCAGGGATAAGTGAAAGTATTTCAACAACCTATAAATAGTCATCTCTCGGAGGAATCAGTCCAGTCATCACCTGAAGACGATTGTAGATACTAACTATCGAAACGTCATGAAATAACGTGACTTGGAATATCTACACTTCTTATTATTTTCTTTTTTCATTCCTTTATTTTCATTTATTCAATTGTTATATTTTTACTTGTAAGTTATATCACTATTATTTCATTTCAGGTTTATTTTTGCTTAATATAATTTTATAGAAGAAAAAAAAGCATTTTGATTCTGTACTTTCACGAAACTTATTCATTTTGCGAAAAAGCCACATAAGATCTACTTACTCGCTATATTGAAAAGTTTGAAATGTTGCCTATTGTACGCAGTACAATGAACATTAACATTTATTGAAGGACAGAACACAAGCACTGCAGATACATTTTCAAGGCGCTCTAGAAGCGGTGGCTGAACGAATGTAGTGATTCACGTTGGATTTCAATCGCTGGAGATCGAATTCATTCGAAAAGACGTTCTCAGAAAATTTATTTCATAAACACGCTGTTCTCCAAATGAAAGAGTTCTCATGCAATGAAGTTCGAGGTGTACTGAGTTGAACCTCAAAACGATGAGGAGCCACAGTTCGTCGCGTATTTCTGATATATACCGCTCTTGGTGAAATCAAATGTGCCAAGTCACTTGAACACCTCTCGAGAAGATACCATAAAAGACAGACAAATCCCCAACCTTTCTTCGATGTTCCAGACTATCAGGTTTCAAGTGATATTCGCGTCTCCAATCAGATGAATTACTCTTTTCTGGATGGAATCCAGCAGCTTCAGGGTATGCTTATGAGCGGAGCTTCAAGTAGTTGAAGCATTCCAAATATATAACGGTAATAGGAGATGTATTATAACATTTCTGATTAATATTATCGACATTTTCAATTCTGGAAATAACCCTTAGGGGCGAGTTGTTTTCAGAAACACAAGATTTGAATTGTCTTCTAAAGAAGCGATCTCTGGAAATTTAGTCATTCCAGAAACCATTCATTTTTCTCCTGTTCCGATTCATCTATTCGAGAGGCTTTTGTATAACCATCATCAGATACGTAGAAAAAATTGGAACATCACTTGCTAAAAAGTCGAGAGGCCTTCCTGTGGAACTGAATTTTTTTGTCACATTTTTTTCAAAAGAAAAAGTACCGGAAGAGATGAACTTTTCAAACTCAACTGATCAAACACTTCACAATAGCGACAATTTGGTTTTCGAATATTATCATTCAGTTATTCAGAGAAAACGACTATTCGATAAAAGATAGCCTAAATTGGTAGAGTATGGTTTCACGAAACTCTATTTTTTCTTCAAAATTATTTACTCACAGCTCTTAAAACATCTCTCAAAACTTTATACGACGAAAATTCATGCGTTGATTCTAGATTACAAATTTTCGTTGATGGAAATGAAAAAAAATACGTAGGAGAGACCCTCAACAGTAACAAAAAAATACGTTTAACAGAAATTTCATCTGAAACACCAAAAGTACACACATCGGAAAAGTCTAGGGATATTTTTATAACATACTAAATATCTTAAAAATAAATGCATGAGGTCGTTTAATTTCGATTAAATTGGTACACTCGACCACCCTGTAGATTTCTATGGGTTGAACAAAGCCTGCAAAAACGGTAACTAATCTTTTATCAAGTTTTTTACAAACTGTAGGTTTTCGGCTGAAATGAATAATCTGAAAGTGTCGAGTTTGTATATTCTATGCAGTTCGTGCTCAGCAATTAAACTGGAAATATTATGCTTTAACATGGAACGCCATCACTTACCATTGGCTGAGATGAATAGAGCTGTAGGGCTTCTTCAAGGTGGCATGCGACAAAATGATGTAACTCTTCGTTTGGGGGTCTCCCAAAGTAAAATCAGTCGATTGTGGCGGCGTTTCCGTGAAACTGGCAGTCCAGCCGAACAACATCCAGGGCGAGGACGCGCTACAACTGCAGTTCAAGACCGATTTTTGATCTTAACCGCAAGAAGACAACCGACAATCACAGCACCTGAGTTGGTTAACGTGTTGCAGCAGACGCACCAGGTAATCATTGGTCGTGATACTGTCAGAAATTGACTGCATGAAGCAGATCTCCACAACAGAAAGCCACTTAGATGTCCACCTTTGTCGAGAGGCAATCGCTGTAGAAGATTAGAGTGGTGTCAAGAACATCAAAACTGGGATGCAAATGATTGGGCCACAGTTTTGTTTACAGACGAATCCAGATTTGGATTTCATCCAGATTCTCGTCGAATAAGACTGTGGAGACGAGCTGAAAATAATGAACGTTTGAGACACGTCCAGGAAGTCCACACATACAGAGGTGGTACAGTAATGCTATGGGGCGGAATCATGATCGGCGGCAGAACCGATCTCGTTTTTCCAAATCGCTCCCTCACAGCTCGACAGTACCTCGACACCATTCTTCTACCTATCGTCCGTCCGTTTGCTGGTGCTGTTGGTGAAAACTTCCACCTAATGCACGATAATGCTCGTCCACATGTCGCGCGTCTAGTGACTGACTGGCTCACCAACGAAGGAGTTGATGTATTGCCATGACCAGCACAATCACCGGACCTGAATCCCATCAAGCATGTGTGGGACATGCTTCAACGAAGAATTACTCCGCATATGGGGAACATTCACACAACGTTTCAATTGAGAGAGCTTTTAATCGCTGAATGGGCAAATGTACCTCAACAAGACATTGACAATCTCATTTTGTCGATGCAAGATAGATGTAGGGCCGTGATAAAACAGCGTGGAGGCCATACTTTGTACTGATTCCAATTTTTTTTGTATTATGATTTTTTTTCGGTGTGCCAAAGAAGAGCCATATTTTTTTTTAGTTTTACTTATATGCGCACTCAGCATTTTTGACCGTTTAATAAATTTTGTTGAAAGTTACATTCGTTTAATAACCACCCGTCAACTTTTTTTCTCCTAAGGCGATTGCCATTTTTAAAAATATCCTCAGACTTTTCCGATGTGTGTATTTTAGGCGATACACAAACCAGGCTTTCAACTCATACTTCGAGGAGAAGATATGAAAAAAATAGCGAAAGAATCATGGAGATGCGTTAATTAATATAACTCAATATCATAGTATCATATTTGATTGAATTGGCCGATACTTGATAAAAATCAATTGAGTTTTCAAAAAACACCTCATTGTGGGATTTTCACTGAATAGTTTTACAAAAACGTTAAATGGAATTGGTTTGTCAATTCAAGAAACTACTTCTATGTTCTTTAGTTCTTTGAGAAAAAGATCTTTCCCTTTGTCCAATATTAAGTTCTTGGGCAAGAGCCGCAAGTCAACTTATATATTCCTGATCTATCCGACACTGAAGTTGTCTTTATTGTTCAAAAATAATTTACTCAAACTATTATTCGTTTTGTTAGCCACGTCCCAGCATTCTCTGTTCAAAAAACGAGCGATGTTATCGGTGGGTTCACCAAAATATGACAATGTTCTATAGCTAACGTTATCACTGTTTGAATTCGGCTAGACCTGGTCCAAGGCTCGTTTTTGTAGTTCTCTGGAAAGGATGGAATAAGTAATATCTTCCTCGTAATCGTTGTTGACAGCGATTCGTTTGATAAAAGTCAGTTCAGTATTCAATAGTCTGTGATTAAATATGATCATTGATTATGCCACTCATATCTTCCCTACTGATGACAGTGGGTTTTACCAAGCAACACCAATTCTGAATCGGTTGAGCAGAATGGGAAATCCTTCAGCAAATATGTTTCATCAAGGTTATGGTAATTGATTCAGTTCGAAAAGGAAATGAGGTTTTCGAAACGAATATTCTCAACAACAGTTCACATGGCGTTCCTTCAGAAAAATAATCATGTTATCATATTGGGGCACTTGAGCAAACAAAAAATCATTATAATTGTTGTATTTGAAAATAATTTTTATCATCAGAACCGTACATTGAAGAAATTTAAACAATAATTCTGAGTGGCATTTGGAACAGTTTTGAATGAAAGGACAATCTAAGTGATTCTTACTGAAATGTCTCAAATGACTCACGAGGTCTGTTGAAAAAATTAGTAGAATATTTAATTATCTACAAAAGTATGCTTTCAACCATCAATATCTACTTTGTTCACTTCAAAGTAGTCTCTCTTAGATATAAAATAGTTTGCTAGCGTTTTTACCAATCTTCAAAGTAGTTCTGACATGCACTTTCTGGTATGTCCTTGAGCTCCCTCAATCGTCGAAAAACGACCTCCTTTCATGAATCACAGGGGTCCTTGGGGTTCAAATCTGGATAATACAATGGCTGCGGCATGATTGAGCAATGACGAGTAAGCAGGTACATCAACGTCATAAAAATGCCATGAATCCTTTTGACACAGTACCAGACATTTCCACTATAGTGCATCTCAAAAGCGGCGCAAAACTTCAAGACAGTTCTCCTTATTGATTAGACCAGAACCTGTCATTTGCATCGCTTTAGGTTTTACGAAACAAACATTGAGCACCTGAGTGGCAAGGAGATTTGAGGACTTCTGGCAAAACCTCACAAGATTGGCTAACTCCAAGGCGCTGCAACACGATTCATGCCCAAAATTTCTGAAAAAATTGCAGAGCATGAGCCAACCAATATGCCTCTACCACTAGTGAACATTTTCCTAACCCAGAGAACAATAAGGTTTTTTCAAGAACGAAATACATGCCCTACATGAAAATTCTTGAGACGCTCTGAGAGCTGTGCCTATGCGAGAGTAGCGATTCACGTTGGATTTGATTCGCTGGAGATTGAATTCATTTGGAGAAACTTTCTCAGGTAGTTTACTCCACATAAACGTAGATCCAAATGGAAGATTTCTTGAGCAGTGACGGGGTTTAACCCCAAGCGATAAGCACCTACAGTCTATCGCGTATTTCTTATAAGTATCGCTCTTGGTGGAATCAAATGTGCCAAGTCACTTTGAACATCTTCCGCGAAAGTATTTTTAAAAGATGGATAAATCTCCAACCTTTCTTCGATGTTCTAGACTATCAAGGTTGCATGACTGGTGTTCATTTTAATCACCAACAAACTTATCGAAGCAGAAAGCGGAATTGTCTGACCTGACATTATTATATCTGGTTCGGAGACATTTATCTTTCTGGAGGAAACCGATGTCTGGGTTATCGTGGCATTGAATTGAACTTGGTTACTTCCATCCCAATTCAAATTCACCCTTAGGTCTTCATTGTCAATATTTCAAGTGTTTTTGGGAACCTAATTCTATTTTGTTACAATTTGTTTGTTACAATTTGTTACAAATTCTTTGATCCATTTTTCCCGATAGCAGAGAATTGCCAAACGAGCAAAACATTTCTAACTTTTATGTCTCTCACTAGGTTGGTTGGGTTTGGTTAGCTTCAAAGTTAGTGGGTCTATTCGAC